GTTGAAGTCGCCTTCCATTGGACAGTAATGAGATCTTGTGGCATAAGCAAAGCTTAAAACCATTTCTCTTTTTGAGATGAAAGCAATATGTAAGCATATATTTTTCTGAAAGAGAAAGTGGATCCCCAATGATCTATATTACAGTTTCCAGTCAGCTGCATCCCGTTCATGATGCAGTTGACACTTTCACTAGTAAAATCTGAACTTCGTTCTCATATTGGCTACAGATTTTTCATAACACAATGTACTAATGTAGTTTTATTTTAAACGCATGTTTGTGATTATGCCTGTTGAAAATGATATATGTATGAGATGTGGATATCACTACATTTTTTTGGAAACACTGCAGAACTAGTAAGTGTTCCAATGATCTCTACCTTATATAAAACATCTATCCGGTAACTATTTATACTTACTTATCCTTGCAGGTCAGCATTAAAACCTGTGCAACAAGCACTTAAAAAGTATTACTAACATAAATTTAGTTGTTTGTTTATTTTCATCAGAAAAAAAGATGTAACTGTAACAATCAGTGTGTTCTATTATTTTAACAGCAGTAGAAATATTCTTTGCTTCATTTAGATTTTTTTGTAACAGTTGTAATATTATGGATGTGTACTAATTTTACTAAAGATGATTTAAGTGTGAGAATCTTGTGCCTAGTTCTTATGAAGATACCCATTTCCACATCCCTAAACACAAAAGTGACAAACTCTGTGAAAAGACGAGATCTGGACAATTTGGTTTTATTTGCTACACTTATTACTTATTAGAACCACACATAAGCAAGTCTTAGAAAAACAAAATGACAAAAAAAAAAAAAAAAACTGGAATACCCCTTAACTGTGAAGCCTCGTTAGAAGGCTGTGTGCCCAAATGATGTCATTCTGGTTCATCCATGCCTTGCGTTCCGGAGCTGCTTTATGGCTTTACACAGAACGTTCTAGCAGTAATTGTTCAATAATGCCCTGGGCAATGGAATTTCCTGCTATGCATTTCTCTCATCCAAAAGCCTTTGATATTTTGGAAGCTTCAGTTCCGGACTACCGCCAGTACGTTAACACCAGTGATTAAGTGAGAACAGTACATTTTGGCTTTGAGATGCACTGTGCTCAGTGAGGAAATCCAATAGTGAGTAAGAGGTAAATGTGTGGCATTAAACATTTGCTCCGGCTCCACATCTGCTGGAAAACACCAAAGCAGACAACAAAGACCAACAAAGTCCGATGTATGATTTTCCTTCTCCGTTGTCTTGGAGTCTCTTTGTTTGTGTGACAGTTTGCGGTTTGAATTGTTACAATATGGTGAGAGCGGGTTCCTTTCCAAACAATCGCAGGCCTTGGAAAATAATTGGCAGATGCTCTGTTGACCAAACCAGCTTCAGCATTTTGAGCTGAGTTGACCTATAGCACCTGCATCCACTGCCAGAGTCTTAAATTTGATCAAACATAATGAAGAGCAGATTTGATGAAGCACGGCCCTGGCAGCCCAACTGGAAGCCAAGATTAGTTTGCCATTTTGCCCATATATTTAGAAATTGGCACAAAGATTCAGTTTTTTTTTTTTTCTATTCTTTGGTAGCGTCTTCACTCGGTTTGGAAAAAATAGACAGAAAACATTTTTCTGTTTTTGATGAGTGACTCATTCAATTGACTGTTGACTGTTCAAAGCGCTGTCCGTGGATGTTGATGTAAAATTGGGTAGAAGGAAAAAGGAGGTAGTGTACAGACAACAGGAACAAAGGTAGTCATATTGGACTCAATTAAACACAACATACTAACAGAAGTAATATTACATGTTTGGCCAAATATCACTGACTTTAGAAGTGGAAAATTTGTTTTTGTTTGGAAAGAGTACTCTGGGCCACTGTCCCTCAGTCCTTTAATTTTCTTAGCATAGTTATGACACTTCTGATGACCTGGTTCAGGCGTGGCTTAACTGAGTCCAGCTGCAATCCACACAGTGTGGATTTTCCCTAAACTTTGCTCCTCAAGACTACAGGTATTTCTGACGCTTGTGCATCTTTTTCAGTATTTTTTCCCTCCACTCAGATTTCCATTATTATTTTGCTAAGTAAGCAGTCTTGCAATTAAAAATCCAAATTTTATTGGCCGTATGTAATGTCATAATTTGTTCTTATTTTTAACAAATGCATCAGTGGAATATATCACTCCACGAATAATTAATCTATCTTTGTAAAATGTTTGCTTTTCAAATTAAATTACTGAATAAAATTTAGGTTTTGATTTATTCAGATTCATATGCAGTTTGGAGCGAGACAAATATTCTTTTAGGCAGAAATTTAAAACAAGACAATGTGTTAATTAGCATAATAAATAGCACACTACCAATAAATCCCGTTTATTTTACCAAAACCATAATCTTCCTTGGACACCTCAATTACAGAAGCTTTGGTGCTCATCAGTTTTATGTGTGAGATCTGATTAGAAATCATGTAAAGGCTCTACAATTACAGAGTTGAAGAAATAGAAAATGCAGACATTCATCCATGAATGTGCTTAGAATTTCCTACTTTCTCTTCCATTGATTTGGATGTAATTAAATGCAACTACTTGGCCTTTACACACTTGTGTCAGCTCAGCGGAGATATGTGTTATGTTGAGTGAAAAACATTCAGTGCAAGGACATGAAGGGAAGGAAAGCATGTTCAAACGTTGAACTGATACCAGAGAAAAGAAGCAGAGAAGAAGAGCGGAGATGTGGCGGAGGGGTAGTGAGACAGCGCTAAAGGTTGACGGGGAGGGGGGGGGAAGCAGTCATCAAAATGCTAATGTTGTATGGGATATTTACTGCAGAGGCTTAATGCAGTTTAAAACAGGCTCTTTGTCCTGTAGCCCATCACCAAACCCCTGTTGGGCCTTAATAAATCAGCCATTAAAAGCTGATGTGACCTGAATAGTACGACAGTCAGCCTGAGTGCCAGAGAGAAGCTCCAGAAAACTGGCTGAAAAATTTATGAAGATGTCGTTTAATAATGGTTGACCTAGAGGAAGCCCTAAATAAAGAGGTTTGTGATGTGGCTGTAACAAGGTAATAATTATGATACTGAAAGGTAATTATTTTATTTTTTGCAAAGGCATCTTAAAGGTGGCTTAAAGTCAAAGTAGCAGACTTTGAATTATTAATCCCATTTCCATTTATTTTCCCTACTTCCCTGTCTTTGTACTTCAAATTCCCCTTTGGTCGCTCAGTTTAAATTCAAAAGATGTACTGGCTGAAATATTCATCTGTGACATGTGACCCCATTTGTAGAAAACCATATATTAATAGCTGTCGCTGTCAGGCAATTGAACATAACTTGCAACAGAGATTTGCAAACATATACATATTTTTTCTTCTAGTTATAAATCATGAAAACCGAGGAAGAGCTTGACAAAATATAGAAATAATCACGATGTAATTGCTTTGATTTAAAGAAAGTGTGACGACTTTTGATGACTGCTGCGAAAATATCACATTTTTCTTTGGGTTGCTGCAGAACCCAAATAAAGTAATAGAGCATAGGATAGCTGCTTTCATTAATTTTCAGTTATAAATTTAGGTATGGAAAACATAAAAGTTACAAATTGTCATTATACATCTAATTATGAATAAGACTTACAGTGAATTTAAAACATATTTTTATTAAGATGACTTGATTGATTTGAACATTTTCCTTGTGTTTTTGTTTTTTTAACTGACCAGCTGAAGTCATTCTATTTCTGGATTCTGGAGCAGTTTAAGCTCAAGTTAAAGTTCAGTCTTGCCATTAAATTGCACTTAGTTAAAATACCAAACAAAGCACTATGAACTATGTTAAAAAGAATGTGCATGTAGTACTTACCAGTCAAAGTGTTGAAGACTTTCAGTACAGATGTAAAACAAACCCCAAAAAACAAACAAGCCAAATGACACTGGAAATTCTAGGCAAGATTCATTTGAGCAATTGAATGAATTGCTTTTTAAAGCTTTATTAACCTATAATCAAGTGGATTTTTATCACTATAGAGTGAAAGTCAAGCTGAAATTTCTCCCCACTTTTGTTTAATTTTGCCTTACGGTCACATTTTTAGCTGTACACACAGAACTTTCATTTCATTTTGTCAGGAAACTGGTCTGCTTTCAGACACTGTCACTGTCATTGCTTTAGAAATCAGGGGTTTCTACCAAATTCTTTCAGGATTCAGGAAACTAAAATTGTTTTTTACATCATCATGTCTTCTATCTTTTCACCGTAATCACTATGGCATCTACAGACTGCATTTACTGGGGCTTCCCCTAAAAGGAGACGGTTTAAAAAAGTATATTTATACAACATTTTACCATATGTCAGATGGTTCAATTTGTTACTGCAGCAGGAACGTCACTCCATCTACTTTAAAAATGATCCATATAGTCAGAAATTCCACGACTGCATAGAACTGAATTTATTGCTGATAGCTCAGTTGAGCACAACATTATCACTGCAGTCAAGTATTATCATTGAGGACACGTCCGCGAGAAAGCCGAGAGCCTATTGTCGATTGGGTTCTCCTAAAAAAATAAGTGTTGGCAATTTTTTTTTTCAGTACTAGGCATACAGGCTCTTTTTGCCTTTAGCATACCTGGTGGGTGCCTGAGCCAGCATAAAAAGTTGTATAAAGTGGTCAAATGGACTAATAATAAAATGAGCAATTAAGTTGTTTCAATGCCAAAGCAGCAGACCGTTGCAGGAAGCAACTTTTATGTGCAATGAAGTCCATCATATTGTATTGAGTCATTGACTTTGCAGCAATCTCTTATTTTCTGGCCCAGATGCTGAAAAGTGTAGGAACTGCAAATCATCTAGGCATCCCAGTCTGGATTTACTTCTATAGTGCTCTATTTCTAGGGTCAAGTGCTTAAATAGGTTTTATTCAACTGTAAACTATGCTTCCTGTCATCTGTTTTTAAAGACGTTTTGCTGTAAAGTTAGCCGGCTTGGTTTCCTAAACGCTCTTTTTTTCTCTGTTTCTGTCCAGGACACAACATGCCTTTATTACCTGGAATGTGATATGCAGGATTTGTAATCAACAGCACTCAAGAGCCGCTCTACATTCTCGTCTTGAGGTATTGTACCGTTTTTCAGACTTCATAAACAGAGCTGAAAATGTTTGATTGCGATTCATGAATACGAAATCGAACACAAGACGCGGCCCGTCGCCATCAACTCCCCAAACACGGCGCGGTGATGAAGAGCATTCATGTGAACCAATTGGGCTTGTTCCTTGTGTGCAATAGGGTGTTTACTGAAATGATTGATGATAGGCTCTCATCTCCGTATGCTAATCTGTGGGACACCTCAGGTAAGCCTTTAATTTCTGCGACAGCATCAAGGATGATTTTCCTCTCTCTCTTTGTATGTAAAGAGCATGTTTGGATTTCATTCCCTGATGCAAATTAGATTTTTGGTGTAATCAAGCAAAAGCGCAGCTGGTTTGTGTTTCTTCATGCGTCAAATCTGAGCTCCCCCCCAGTCCTCCGTCCCCACCGACTGTCCAAACTGTCCCAACCCTGTCCCAGTGTTTGCTCACCACTGCTTCCTGTAGCTCATCTCCCTTGACAGCCGAAGCCCTTCCCCTGTTCAATCCATCGTCGCCAAGACACAAACACACACGCTTCCTAGCTCTCCAGAATGAATGGATCCACTTGCCTGGGTGCCTCCTGCAGTGAGGTGGGATTGAATTCAATTAGGGAGATTGTTTGTCCTCCTGACTCTGCTGGTGGGCTGGGTTTGCCAGCTAATGCCCCCCTGCTTACCTCACTCCCTCACATCTACGCATACACACATTTTACATCCTGTTTTATTTTCATGTTATTTCCTGACTTGGTATTCAATGAGATTAGGGTATGAATCAAAATTTGTCTCATCACCTCACCTCACTGTAAGCAGTGAGCCGCAGCAGAGTTGCCACCATGTGTGTATTTTTTATTTCCTTCCCCCCACAGGTGAATAATTGGGTCCAATATTTGCGCTCAATCCCAGCAGCCACATACACTTTGCAGGAAAAAAAAAATCAATTTTTACAATTAGTTTATTCAACAACATATCTGCAGCCAAAGACAGGACGGTAAATGTTGCTGACGTAGGAGTAATGGATACATTAGTTGGAAAGGTGAAAATGGAACGCGGCTCTCGCTTGAATAATATTGAAACTAGCTTATTTGTGCTGGGAGCCTTTCCTTTTTACGCATAATGGCCTCGATTGTGTGTAGGAACACATTTCAGTGGCCAGTCCAGCAGCCCGCTGCTTTCCTTCAGCTGTCATGCTGCTTGTCTCTGGGTCGGTACCGCTCAGAAATCAGATACTGTATTAGTGCCGAAAGATGTCAAATTAATTAAAACCCAAGAAAGATGAATACCTTGATGCACTCTGACGATGAATTAAGACCTTTATTTCTTTCGTCTTAATTTGGATTTGCTCTCCTTTGGTTTAGCCAAATCAACTTCAAGGACAAAATTTTTTTGACTGATAAATTCAGAGATATGACTTACTTTACAAGCACAAGCAGATGTGATATTATTCAGGATAACAGATTCTTCATGCGGTATCCTTCATTTTCTCATTTCTCAGCCAAAAACCTCTGTACACACTATGGAGATATTAATGAAAGAGCAACACAAAGTTTTACAAAGGTTCAAAGAGAAAAACATTTTAAATTGTTACACTCTCCTCATGACTTAGTGGAGTGGTTTATGAAATTGCAGCTGCAAGTGTTTTGGACTATGTCTTTACCATCATTTCACATCTCCTTTGCTCATCCTGTAAACAGCAGTTTTCCACAGATTCCGGTGGATTTTGGTCTGGATTTTTATTTGACATTTCATAACTACACCATACGTGAATATGTAGCTCTGGTTGTGTGTTGAAGGTCATTGCTCTGCTGGAGCAGACTCTCACGGGTTTTCTTCCAGGAGTTCCCTGTATTTATCTCCATCCATCCTCCCACCTGACCAGCTCTACTGCCCCTACTGAAGAAAAGCATCCTCACAACATGATGCTGCCACCACCATGTATCACCATAGAAATGGGTTCTCACAGGTGATTAACCTGTTAGGTTTTTTACATCTGATACCTGAAGTGCTTTTCAACGTGATGCAAGCAGTGTGAGATGACAGGAAGTGTGGTTCTTTTCAGTACATAAATAATGGTAGCAAAATTGTTGCCTGACATACAAAAGCTTCAAATACTGTATATTTCACCAACTTGAACTCCTAATCAGAAATTATTTCTGTGTCTCATTTCCACTTTTGTATGGTTTCACATATTATATCTCATCATGACGTCTCTTCCTCAACTTCACAAGCCATGTTTTGTCTTTGTACAAGTTATCTGATGTGGCCTGCGACTTCACGCGCTTGCAAAGTCATTAGAGGCCAGCTAGCTTTGATCCCCTTTCTGTAGTGGTGCTTTTAGAAAACATATGTATATAACAAAAAGGATCTTCACTCCCACCTTCAAGTGTTTTGCAAAAGAGTCTCTTGAGAATTGCATCTTCATAGCATTCAACACAATAGAATATGCTTTATATTTGTAGGAAAATTTGTTGCACACTCCATATCTGAGTGCCTTTTTTTTTTAATCACAGCACATGCATAGCACAACAAGGAAATGGTAATAATAGTTCCACTGAGTAACAAAGTTTAGCATCATCTCACCCCAGAGCAGTTTACAAACAGTATTTCACATATATATCACACATAATTATATTTGTTTGACTTGTTTTGGAAGTTTTTGGCATAAAACCTAAAAGTTTTGTTTTCTTCCACTGTAACAGAAGAAATTGGGAGATTTTGTAGATCAGCTCAAACTACAAACCTTCAACCTCATTTGATAGCATGAACCTCAGTGAACAATGCTTTGCATAGCCAGTATGGTTTCCCATAGCAGCATCCATTCAGGTTAGCTTGACCATAATGACCTGTGACAGCAGCCTGGCTAAGTTTTGGTTCTGTTATCTTAAAGCCCCGTGTTTGTTTTCATAGTGTGATTCAGCTGCGGGGATTCTCAAAATAATGCAAAGCAGGTCATTTGAATGGGAAAGGAGGTGAGCTGCTTTCAGCCCATGTCAGCATTTGAATTTGGTTCAGAAGTAGTTGACTTTGCACATCGTTGCTGATGTATCCGGTTACTGGGGCAACTCCAGTCTGCCCAGGAAGCAGCCCTGGTTTCAGAGATACCAGGCAAAGCTCAGAAACCCTCTAAATGACCAAATTACTTTAAATGGCACACATTGCTTTATGTTGTTTGTCTGGCTGCTAATGGCATAATGTGGAGCCTCTGCAAAGAGTGCTGCTGTCTTGACAACGGTGACCTGCTAAAAATGTATTTGCCCAAACGTCTGCGTTGTCATTTTCTCCAATAACCGGTTAAGAATGATGTGAGAACAGTCTTGCGGCCACATGCAATTTTATCTGAACCACTGTGTGCAACATTTGCCAAATTGTTGGATTGATATGGATTTTATCCACAAGCAAATTTTATTTCCTTTTATTTTGAGAAAACAGAGGCTGCATGTTCCGAGCAACCTGTCAGAAATTCTCAACTAACTGTGGGGCCAGAAAACCCCAGCATCTGTAACCTTAATTATTTACATTGTTGCTTTTGTTTCTTGTTTTAACCTTTTTTCCAGAGATGCAGTATTAATATCGGTGTTTTGGGCATGCTTCCTTTTGTTCCTTCTTCCCTGTGTCCTACCACCTTTAATTTTTTGTGACTTGTGTTTCCCTTCCTCATTTCCTTCCTTTTCTTGTGTTCTTTCTTGTTTTAATCCTTCTTTCCACCTATTTTGTGCCCTTCCTTTTTCTTTTTTGCTTTCCTTCCTTTCTTGTTTTTTGCTTGTCTGTAATTTCTCCTTCATTTAATCCTCCGTTTATTTTCAGCACCCTTTCATTTTTCTTTACTTTCTTCATTGTGTCCTTCCTCTCTTTCTCCTTTCTTCCTGCCTTAACTTCTTGTGCCATTCTTCTTTACCCAGACCCAACATGAACATACGTTCGTTCATGGAGAACTTTGGTTTTATGTTTTAGACTGAGCATACAAGACTGCAAACTGCAAATTAGTCTTTTAAGGTTTTATATTTTTTGTATAAGATATTTGTAGGAATATTGCATTTTATACATTGTGCTTTTGTTTTTTTGTGTATGGGTGTATGCAATCATTCATTTTTCAGCTTTGCATTTCACTAAATTTATTAAAAGTTGGGAGCTCAGTGGGGTTAGTTGCATTTTAGTGCTGCAGATCAATAATTTAGCTTCAGTTAATTAGAAAATTAAGAGTTTGGAGGAAGTAACCCCTCAGCCATATCATTATGAATATTGCTTAGTGAAGTGGAAAGCATTGATTATCACATTAACTTGGGTGAGGTCTGTGAAGTCGTGAGTCTATAGCTTTGTCTGTAAGGTTGATGTAGCAGTAATTGTGAAGACAACTCCTCCTCTTATAGAATGTTCCTAGGATACAGTGGACACTGATTGAATATAGGGAAGACATACAATAATTGATTGAAAGAGGGATTCCTTTTAGGCTCTTTAACCCCTAACTTATCCTGAAGACAATAGATGGATATGTATTTGGTGAATTACCATAGAGCTCTTAACAGCTGCAATTGTTATGTTTTTTCAACTAAAACAGAGTCGATAACAGTTTGTTGGATAGGATCTGCATAGCAGCAGACTGTTAAGACATGCACATTGACTTGAGTCTAGTGCCAATGAGCAGATGGCTGGGTCTGTTGCGGTCACTTAAAAAAATGAAAACTTAAACCAGACTCTGGGGACTTTACAGTTACTTAAGTCTTTGTTTTACTGTGAATCCTCAGGTCTTACCATTCCTCTCACTGTTGCATTGTTACCAGGTATATTTTGTAATCAAAAACATAATTTAGTCTCTGTGGAACACTGCAAAAGATTTAACGGGTGACTAAGGAGTAAGCTAGTAGGTTTGAGGTTTTGTTTGACTCCAATTTCTCCAAGTGTCAGTGTTATAATTGACACATGCTGAACTAAATGATGAAGCACCCATCCCCAGAACATCTTGAGAGAGTTAAGGTGTTTGCAAGGACACGCG